TCCAGAAGCTTTTCAGCTCGATGCAGTCCCATTTGTTTATTCTTTCCTTTTCATCCCCAGCTCCAGGGAACATATCAGTGAAAATACTTCTACGTGGGGTATCTGAAACTTTCCCTGCCTATGCTCTCCTCTAGGACCCCAAGGTGTTACAACCTGTATCCAGGTCTTCCATCCATCCTGAGTTCGTTTTTGTGTATGGTGTAAGCTGGTGGTCTAGCCCCACCCCTTTGCAAAACATACCTAAATCTATACATATGTATTTAGGGGGTTTCCTCTGAAAAAGGTACAAAAATGAGATAACACCTTAATATATTCTATTATTTTATTTTCTCTTCTAATTCCTCCCCCTGCCTTTGCTTTTTATGACCATAGACATTATGGATTATAGGTCTCTATAGGGCTGTCAAGAAATAAATGAAGCCCCTTTAAAATGGAGCCAGAGTTGCCACACCAGAGGGACCGCCTTGCATGTCTTACATCTCAAACCTTTGGAAGGTGAAAACCTGGCAAAATACCTTTGGCCCGAGACTAAAGTAACCTTGTAGCCAAAGAACTGTATGCAAAGATAACAAGGAAACGGATATAATGACTATGGGACTGAAAATAAAACATCATTTAGAATGAAAACACTATGTTAGTTTACCTGCCCCAATAGTAAGACCTTCCTTCTCTTGATGTAATTGTTTCCCTCCCATTTCTCATAAACACCCATTGTCTTGGTCTCCTAATCAGAACACTGTTTGGGCTTCCGCCTGAATCTGTATGTCCCAAATTCTTTGATCTCAAATAAATGCTTGTTGCTTCTCTTTTTGAAAGGCCTGTATTTTCAGGTTAACAGGACACACAGGTATCTACTTCAGTCATAACAAACTACCACAAACTTAGCAGTTTGAAGTGTACAGATCTATTACCTCGTAGTTCCACATGTGAGAAGCATAGTGCTGTCTCACTGAGCTAAAATCAAACGGTCTGCAGGGCTGTGTTTCATCCAGGGGGCTCTAGAGGAGGATCTGTTTCCTTACTCTTTCAGGTTGTTGGCAGAATTTAGTTCCTTTCAGGCCCCATTTCCCTGATGGCTGGCAGCTGAGGGTCCTTTATGGCTTTTGAAGGCTGTCTGTATTTTTTGGCTTGTGGTCCCATGCCCCATCTTCAATGCCAGCAAGGACAGGTTAAGTGCCTCTCACACTTCAGATCTCTTCTGCCCCCTCTTGCATTGTTTCTTTTCTCTGAACCAGTCATCATGCTTTTCTTGTCCATTTTTTAAGGGCTCATGTAATTACACTGGGACCACCTGGATAATACACGATAGTTTCCCAATTTTTAGGTCATCTTAAACCCATCTGTAAAATTTCTTTTGCCGTACAAGGAAATATATTCACAGCTTCCAGAGATTAGGGCATGAGCATCTTTTGGTTAGTTGGGTGTGTGGGTGGGGTTATTTTCTGCCCACCAGAGCTACGTTTATGATGTGTTACACCTTTATCTATTTTGGGTCTTGGGCTCACGTCTCTGGGCTCTGTTCTCTTACTCTGATTGACCTATTCTGTGCCAACTCTATATTGCCTTGACCATTGCAACTTTACAGAAAGTTTTATTATTTGGTAAGACAATCTCCCTTTGACTAATCTTCTTTTTCAAAATTGTCTGGGTTGTCCTAACCAAGCTTTCTCCCAGACTATGAAAGTCAGCCACAGTGTAGTAATTCTAGAGTTGCTTTAGCAGGGAGCTGGGAGGATCAATCATTTTATAAACATTTCCAAAACATTTTATTAAAAACTGAAGAGTTTTTAATAAAAACTTAAAAGTTGTTGCGCAAGTTGTCTCATCAACATAAACATTGGAATTATTGCCGAGAATAAGGGTTTCGGCATTCGGGGATAAACATTTTATGAAGGACTAGCTGACTTCCTCAGGTAGCTTGGGTGAACTGGCTATTGCAAATGAGCCTCTGACTCTTGGAACATGAGAACGCACTGTGCAGAGTCGCTCTGGGAGAAGCAGTTCTGTGGTATATCAGCATTTGTGGTTGACTGCTCTTGTGACTTTGGACTGAAGGTTCGTATTTGTAAACAATTTGTCTTCTTCACCCCTGGCCACTTAGTACTAAATGCTCACTCATCTTTCCTAATTGAAGTTATAACAGCTTATTTGTACCTGGTTTCCCCTGCTCTGGAAGATGTCTGTCTATATTAGAGGGGCTTCCAAAATGATCTTCATGAATATTTCAAGTTACACCCTCCATACCTGGAAAAGATTCACCTAGCTACTTTTGCTTGATTTGGTAATAGACAATTTTATTTACATTACTATGTAATTTTACTAATGTTAATTTTATTTACATTATATAGTAATTTTCTGAACTGCTTTTTTACTTCAAAAGCAAAATCACAACTGCAGTAATAACTTTTAAAAATAATTTTTATATAATTATGAAACCTTAATTATGGCATCATGATCAATACAATTATTGAACTCCTGAACAATCACTATATGCTTCTGAGAAAATCAGGCAGTTATCATTCAAGCATTACAGAATTATATCTCTATACAAATTTCATTAAGAAATGCTTTCTTTCATCTTGCTAGTGTATGCTCCCCAAACTTTATAATCTGCAGTTTTAATTTTAAATCCATAAACTATTTTACCCTAATTACATGTAAGATCACTAGTCTCCATACTTTCTATCTCCATGTAACAGTAAGAAATCAGCTCGTAGACCTTTCTCCTTGAAAGCATGTAAGTTATGCTTGCCTTCGGGAAGAGTGCCATTGTGAATCTTTTGGCACTGAAGTGGCTCATCAGACAGAAAAGTCTTGATGTGAATGTAGGACACAGGTCCACTGCTCTGCAGTAAAAATGACTTCTTTCTTCAGTCCCTCAAACCATTTATCTCCACTCTCTGCCAACTAAAAATCTATAAACATTCACCTAAAAACCTAGTGAAACTGATGACTCTTCCCTGGGTGTCTGGAAGGGCCCTGGGCATTCAACCACATGTGCTCTGGGTTGTGAGGTTATTCCTGGGTAAAAGTGGGAATATCCAAGCTAATGAAGACATAGGGCAGGATTGCACTTTTTGGTTAGAATTGTCAAGGCTATAAAGTTACATTTAGACTCTTACTAACATCATCGATATAAAAGCCTGGAGATGAAAATCGATGGCCTTCATCATCCCAGCTATGAAGTGCTGTTAGTGGCGACCCGTGTATCCACAACTACCTGTACACTGTGCAGTAGCAAAAAATATTTTCAAATAATCAATACTCTTGAACTTCAATAATATAAGAGCAGATACACAAAAAAAACTATAAAGGCAGTAAGGAGCCTCAATACCGCCAAATCATAGGGACCTTATGATGTGAGAGTGACAGTAGGTAGCACGCAGGTTGAAATCACGGGTGTGGTTACTGCTTATGAGTGCTACTCCATCTTTCCCCTTCACAGCCCAGGGGATATGATAGTTTCTGACACCCTGGGGCGATGCAGGCAGAGACAGCCACTCTGAAGGCTAAGGGGATCTGTGCAGACCAGAAACCAAGCAGCAAAGCAGCGTGCATCAGTATGAAGGGTGGGAAGCTCCGGCTTTGATGTAAACTCTGCTCCAGTTTTAATGATGGATTTGAAAAAGCTATTAGCCAAATTTGTTATCACTCATCCTCATAATGGATGGCATTTGCCCTCATTGAGATTGCGTGCTTATTACTCCACATTTATTCCCTATTTACATGGTGGGGTATACCCAAGGGTGACTCTCCTGCCCTTGAGAAGCTTACAGTCTAGCATACCAGACAGTTATTTTACAATGCAGGCAAAAATCAAGGCCTATGAGAGAATTTCAGTGTGGTACGAGGTTCCACGGGCTGAAGCACATATTGTGTATGGATACAAGGGGAGCTGCACAGAAAAGCACTGTGCTAACACAAAGGGTTAATTCTGAAATGTCACCCTGACCAAATGCACAAAATACAGCTCGCACTGAGAAAACAAAACAGATCAATCCTTGAAATAATCCAACGTAGCCTGCAACCTATGTATGTGTTCTGAGAATTAAACCCAGGACCATTTGGTATACAGGACACTGCTCTGACCGAGCAACCCAGAAAGGGACCCTGAGATTTTCAAATAACAAAATGACAACAGCCAACCCAACAGCCATCCGGTGTGAATGAATCAAAGGTATACATTTTTTTTTTGGTCAGATTGGCAAAAAAAATTTTTGCTGTTACAGAATTTATTTATAAATTCGTTCATGTGTGCCATGAGATGAAAAAAGGCTGAAAATCGCTGACATAAACATTTCTTATAGGTCAGAAGCATTATTCAGATGTGATATACATCTGATATGCCTTGAAACTCCAGCTTTTAAGATGAATAATGAGATGAGAAAAACTTCAAGCAGTGTTAAAGTAACTGCTTGCTTCTTTTTCCCAAAGATGCAGGTATTGAACATTTTTAATAACTATGACTTTTAATATGAAACACTGCTTTAACTGTTTAAGCTGGAAATAAATTACAGTGTAAACTTCACTGGTTAAAAATAGTTTCCAGGGACTTCAACTTTATATCATACAACTAAGATAATGAGTGAAGGTCATCTTAAGGATTACACCAAAATCGTTATTTCAATTCCATCATTAACTGTGTTCCCATGTTATCGAACAAGAACACTTTTTTGGCACAAGAAAAAATTTTGACTTCATCATTTCAGTCAAAGATATTTTAAAATGGGCCATTTCTGGGAATGAGGATTAGCAGTAAATTCTATGCCCTTTCAGGATCTTCTTGGTCAAGTTAAGAACTCTTTTTCAGCTAAAAACTTCTGTCCACAAAGTATACCTATATGTTTATTTTGAGTGAAATCTAAATTTATATTCTAGAGTATCTCTTCTGAAGATAAGATTTAAAAACACTTGCACGTTTGTCCATTTAAGTATTAATACTAAAATAAATTCCAATGCCGAGGGGAAAAAAGCAAGCTGTGCAGAAACACAAGCCACAGTTTAATAAAAATAAAGAGTGGTTTTATTGATTTCATAATTTCAGCTATATTAACATATATTATAAATTGTAAGAATTAGAAATACATGACTTTTTCTTTACCAAGGATAATCTAGGTTATGACAGCATTTTTAATGAAAGTTATTTAAGTCTTGCACAGTCATATCTATTTTTCAGATAATCAAGAAGTCGTCATCCAAGCTTTTTATATTAGGCCACGATACAGTAACCCCTATACACACACTGTTTTTTTCACCAAATGCTCCCTTTTTGTTATACAGACATATCCTCCCCAAGTTAATATTAAAATGTACAAAATTTAACTTTTTACCCACAAGAGCTGCCTCAGATAACTTTCCCTTTGGGAAGCTACAAAGGCACGAGACAGCGAAATGCTGCTCTGGACTTCGCATCTTGAATTTTTCATTTTTACCTATAACCCCAACTTATAAATAAAACTAAATTAACCCCACATTATAATACTTATTTAGCAATGTATTTTTATGTTTAACACAAAGATGGAAAACATAAAATAGTCTGAGCGAGTATTTGGCAGACCACAGAAAGAAAACAGGACTGTGGGAAATGAAAACGTTTTAGTGTTTCAAAGCTGACGAGACTGATGAATGTCATTCAAATTTCTCATCTCCTTCTTCCACGTCTTTCAGATTGAGCACTTCCAAAGAACCTTTGCCTTTTGTCTCCTTTTTTATTAGTTCATCAATTTCTCTGAAGCAGCCTGGGTCAATTAGACACACCTGAAACATTTAACACAGCTATTTACCGCATGAAGAAGAGCAATACAATACAATGAACACAGCTTTAACTTCCTCCAAGACAAACTCACAATACAAGGTCTGGCACAAATAACATCCCTGTCCTGGCTGGTGTGGCTCAGTGGATTCAGTGCTGGTCTGCAAACCAAAGGGTCACTGGTCTGATTCCCAGTCAGGACACAAGCCTGGGTTGTGGGCCAGGTCCCCAGTAGGGGGCGGTGAGAGGCAACCACATATTAGTGTTTCTCTCCCTCTCCCTTCTCTAAAAATAAATAAACACAATCTTAAAAAACACCCCCTTTTATTACAAAATCATAAGCATGTAATTCTGTAACATAACAATATCATGCTCAAGCACACCATGTGGCATTTCAAGTGAAATGTTCAAATTAAAACTATAAATGATTTCACCCATATTATTCCTCTACCAACCAACCACACTCAGGTGGGCATCACTTCTGCTGGACTCCAGACAGCGCTACCACTACGGCTTTACAGTGCGACGCAGAGGACGACGCACAGGGCAACAAGTGGCATCAACCTCGCTGTTTAATGTTTAAAGACTTACCCAGATCCCTCGGCTTGCTGTAAGACAAGTTGGATTAGAAAAATACGGTACTTTTGATACTGAAACTCAGCATTAAATTCTAGAGTTCAGTAAAATCATCCCTTGTGATCCACACCTGAAGGAGAGAGGCTAGAAGGCCTGTAGAGAAACCATGTATAAAGTTTTGAAAGGACTACAGAACTTCAGAGTACCACATCTGAAGTGGAAAGCTCAACAATCCTCTAGAGCTCGTACATTTCTAGAGCTGCTGCAAAGTCTAAGGACATAAATTTGCCGAAAGTTGAATTCACACTATGTCTGAAGCTATCGGGCGAAGACTCGAAGACACAATATTTTTACTGCTTCTTTAAAATGTTCTGTGGTGCCCGAGCCAGGAAGCTCAGTTGGTTAGAGCACCATCCCAACAGGCCAAGGTTGTGGGTTCGATCCCGTTCAGGACACACTGGTCAAGAATCAACCAATGAATGAATGAATAAGTGGAACAACAGATTGCTTCTCTCCCCCCACTTCCTCTCTGTAAAAAAAACATGAGGCTGACCAATGTTTAGTCTTTTTATTTCCTCATAATGTAAGACTCACTGTAAAATATACTCTCTCACCTAAAATCTGGGTAAGTCATTAAACATGAAGATTAATGCCTTGTCACATGACCAACATGAGTTTATCATAAATAATTTAACTAGAAAACAAAGGAACAAAAAATTTTAAGTGTTCTTAATTCCAATTTAGTTCTACTTTGAACTTAACATTTTTACCTAATTCTAGGTAAACTGTTTCTGGAAATGCCTTACTGTTCACATTTTCTAAATATTTGTTACACATTTATGACTACTTAATACACTACTTTGGTATCACGGAAGCAAAGAAATAAGAATACTTTAATCTTACAATTTCTAATTGTTGGCCGTAGTCTTCACTTTCCACAACCTTGATCAGTGGCTTAAGCTTTTCTTTCAGCTTTTTCCCTTCATTCAATGGAAGAATGAACCGAAGTCTCATGTGAGCACGTTCTATCTTCATTTTCTCTTTTAACTGCTTTATCACTTCCAAAGCCTAGCAAGACAAAATTGAAAATGTTTGCAATTTCTTTGCTTCTTCTGCTGCCTTATTTCATATGGTATTCAAAGCAAAGCTGTTTCCATCTAGCTGGATTTGCAATGGTTTCCTGGGCATGACATAAGCATAAGAAAACAGATTTAAAAAATAGGCAAATTGAACTTTTAAGGTGAAATACTCTTGTGAAGAAAAAAATGCAACCCACAGAATGGGGGAAACCAGTAGTAAACTATATAGATGACTACTACTGTTCAGAAAATGGAAAAACTTTTACAATTCGATAATAAAGAGACAAATAACCAATTAAAAAGTGGTCAAAAGATCCGAACACTGATTTCTCCAGAGAGACATCGGGTCAACGAGCACATGAGATATGCTCAAATCATTAGTCATGAGGAAAATGCAAATGAAAACCAGAAGTTAACCCCAGGATGGTTATAATCAAAAAGGCAGGCAGTAACAAATACTGTCAAGGATGTGGAGAAATTGGAACCCTTGTACATTGGTTGTGGGAATGTAAAATGATACAGCTGTTTTGGAATGACTGACGGTTCCTCAAAAGGTTAAACATAAAGTTACCATATGACCTAGCAATTTCATTTCTGAGTATAGAGAAATGAAAATGTGTCCACAGAAAAGCCATGATGAAATTTCATAGCATTATTCACAATAGCTGAAAAGTGGGTACATAGCATTATTCACAATAGCTGAAAAGTGGGTACAGGCCAGATGTCCATTGGTTGGTAAATGAATAAATAAAATGTGGTATTTCTATACAACAGGATATTATTCAGCCATAAATGTTAATAAATATTTGTCTACAATAATATAACTATCATAGCAAGAATGAAATAGTGATACACCTTACAACATGGCTGAACCATTAAAAGATTGCATGTTGTATGACTCCACTTGTATGAAATGTCAGAATAGACAAATCCATAGAGATGAGGTTCCAAGGGCTTGTAAGAGGGGGTAATGAAGAGTGAATGCTGATGGGCACAGGGTCTCTCTTTGGGGTAATGAAAATGTCCTCAAATTGGATAGTAGGAAAGGTTGCAAAACTTCGTAAATATACCAACGAATTGTACACTTTCAAAGGGTAACTTTTATGGTATGTGATTACATTTTTTTAAAGAAAATCAAAAAAGCAAACTTACAATGACTCTTTAAAAATCCAAGTTTTATCTTTAAAGGTTTGATTTGGGATAGAAAGATAAGAGTCCTATGTATATTTGTGTTTAGTTAAAAAAAATTCCATTTCTCCTCTACAATATATATCCTCCACCCCCCCCAATCCATCCACCAGCTTTCTAGTATCATTACTGCAGACCAATTATTTGAATGATTTCTTCAGAGAAAAGTAATTTTAATGGATACTTTCTGATAACATTAAAAACCACTAACCTGCTGTTTTGTACTCTTGTTGATTTTGACTGAATAGTGGATGTCCTTCATTGCTCTCTCGATAAGGATAACTGTATATGGTCTCTTTGTTTCAGGGTTCACACATTTGTCAGCTACAATAGTTGCAATGTCCCTAAACATCTGCTCCAGCTGTGTTTGCCGTTCTTTATCTGATACTTGAACTTCCCCTTTAGTCAAAATCTAAAAAAAGAACCCAACATATTTAAGAAAGCAATGTCTCTATTACATACTATTTTGTTAACTGACCACATGAATAAGAAAATTAAATTCCATCCTCTGTAGCTACTGAAATGTAGATAATAATTTGAGCTTTGACTAAAGAATTGATTACCTTGTGCTACAGAATATCACTTATTTGGGATTAGAAGGGGAAAAGGCAATCTTAGCCAAGGGTCTAAATGATGAACTACTTGAAAAGAAATTCTATTTTCAGGTATATTACTTTAAAAGTGACCAAAGCAAGGCAATTTAGTACATTTAATTTCTAGAAGCTTTGACAAAAAAAATCTATGTTCTTTGTATGGTGACAATAATTAATAGACTTATCACTTCATAAGGTATATAAATGAATTACTGTATGTCTACACTTCAACTTAAAAAAATCCATGTCCTGAATTACTAAAAGTGATATTGTGCAGATCAAATTATTGCGTGCTCACTGTTCACTCCCCCCAAAAATAATACTTAAGTTTAACACACCTCTAAATACTTATACTACAAATGGATACTAGGGTCAGTTATGCTGCAGCTGCTAAAACCCACCTGCTTACAGATTTCAGTCTGATCATCTGTTCCAAATGCACTGATGAGATCTTCCTTCTTTGCAACCTGACCCTTAGAAACATTTACAAACACTGAGTGGGTCTGCAGAACTTCATCAAGGTCTTTTTCCCTTGTGAGGACAGGAGACAAAGTCCTAAGTCAATACACTTGAAACTTGAAAATTCACTTATATTATTAATACAAATGAAAAGAAACAACAAAGACTCCTAAAAGACCCTCGGTGCCGAGGAAACATTTTCAAAAACTCAGAACCAGATTTGTATTCGCATTTATTCACTGGATAAAAACGTCGTGGGAGGATATCTGAAAGAATGGCAGGTGTGGGTCGGGCTGCTGCCACCGAATACCGATCCCTAGGTGGCAGTAGTGAAGACACTACGCAATTTGATGATACTGGGCTAAGATCTGTGACATTAGTTAGACTATAACTAGTATTTGTAAGACTAGTCCCTGCCTCTATCCTTTTTCTGGCAAAAAGACTATAATGATGGGGGTTTCTTGGCTGTAGCCTCTGTGACAGTATGGAAGCAAAGAAAAACCAAACTCCAAACCAACAATCCAAAACAAAATCGAACCAAAAACCAATAAAACCCCGCTTGGTTTAGGCGCTAAGCTCGGGGGAAAGAGTGACTTCTCACGCTTCCAGCTGAAAACAGTTTTCCATTTCTTTCCCTGACGAACCCAGCCTGGTTTGTCAGTGACCCACCTCTGGTGGTTATTCCACCACCAGAGACCAGCCACCCCAGAGGCTACCAACTCCTGCGGGGGTCTGGAGGGAAAGGGTCACTCACACGCCGCTCCGCCAGCCGACGACTTTGTTTTTGTAGCAGGCAATTTCGAAACGCTTCCCAGCGCGCTTCATGCGTACCACGGCCACATTTGTTAGGCGGATCTGGTTCGTGGGAGTGAAGATGGACATTGTGGTTGCTCAGATTTTGAGTCCAACCAACCACGGCAGACCTGCGCCACCGGCCTGAGAGCCGCCTGAGCGTCACTGTAACAAACCGGCGCCACGCTGTACAGTCTTGCACGCAGAGAGCTAACTCGCGCGACCGACTCGGCCTAGTCGGCCGCCACTACACACCAGACTGACTTACTGCGCAGGCTTCAAGTTGTGCGAAAACTGAAACAGGAAAAGCAAGGAAATAACGCCTGCGCAGTGCTGCTCTTACGGCATCAGTCCCTGCCCGAATAGAGGGTCGCTTTTCCTTACGTAAGATAATTTCGTCAACGAGCTGAAGAGCCCTGATTGGCTGTTGAACCTGATACTGGGAGACCGTCTCGAAACTCGGCGCGGGTCTCTAGTTTCGCAGAGTTCCGGGCCACATACACCCACCTTAACCTTTCATTACAAAAAAAAAAAAAAAAAAAAAATTAACATAGAAACATAAGAAAAAGTGTAGTGAACGTTTATGTACCCATCAGCCCGTTCCAATAATTATACACATTTTATTCTTGTTTCATTTTTTTCTCCCTCATTTTTTGTTGTAATTTAAAGCAAATCATAAGGTTTAGCTTTAAACACTTCAATCTATCCTAAAGTACACCTATTAACTATAATTAACACGATTAACTATTTCTTCATACCCTCTAAGAGCCAGTCCGTAGTCAAATTTCCCCTACATAATGCTCTTTTACAGTGAGTTTCGACGGAGATGCAAACGCGCTCACACAGTTCACTTGCTTGATGACGTCAAATCTCTTTTAACGTCACCTTCCCCCTCCCCACCCTTTTTTCTTAGGCCACTCCAGTTCGACCGACCAGTCCCTTCCTCCTCCCGGCCAACTACTGGAGAGTGCGGAATCGCTCCAGCCGCCCCTCCACGAGTTCTGGGCAGTGCGTGTCTTTGAGCACGCCTCTTTCCCCTCTGAGCCAATCCGAGCAGGACCAGAGAACTCTGGCTTCCTTAGAGTTCTAAGTGGTGCTTCCCTCTGGGCCCGCCCCTTCTCCCTTTGAACCAATCCCGACGAGCCTGCGAGTGGCATGGCTGCCCCCAATGCCGCGATCTCACGGTATAGAGCTCATGCTGCAATGTAGTTCTGACAGGTAGTTTTCCCCGTACTCAGACTAGCCGCCAGGTTTGCAGGTCCGCGATCGTAACCTCTGTGGTGCCGAAGAGCCCGGGCTTTGAGGATCATGGGTAAGGGCCTCAGGCGGACAACGTTCGTGAGGCTGGAGGGGAGAAACCGTGTTTTCGGAGACCCTCTCTCGGCGGAGTGGTGTTCTCAGGACCCTTCGCAGATTGTTCCACTTGTCAGCACGGGTACCGCTGAGGGCAAAGGAGGACTGATCTTTCCTTTTGACTTGGCTTTTACTTTTTGCTTCTAACGTCAAGTAAAGGACAGAGAAAACGGACACCCCGCCCCGTGTTTTACTAATGTGTATTGAGGACCTTTTCAGGGTGGAGCAGCCTCAAATGTGGACCCCAAATTTTAGGCTTCGCCTTTTGAAATTGACCCGAGGTTTAACATTTGAGGCCAGGTCCATCCATATCTCCCTCAAAAAATGGAGCGTGGGGACAGTTATTTAAGAACCTGTTACAAGTTGCCATGGGTCTTTAAAAGTAAAATGAAAAAGGGAATAGTTTTAGTGCTATTTAAAGCTTTTCTCATGACGCAAGCATAACAGCGAAATGAAGTAATAATTTTACATAAAGCGTTTGGACTCTGTGTTCCCCTCTCTTGCTTTCAAATGCTACCAAATAAAGGTGATGTATATATATATATATATATTCCCAACATAATTCCAGGTGGTGTATATATATATTTGGGTTAGCATTATCATAATTTTATCACGTTGTCACATAATTTATTATTAGAGTTGACTTTATATATTAGCCTTGTTGAATATAGAGGTTGAGAGTTTTATTATTTTTTAGTTCTTAAAGTAAGGGTGGATATCTTTGTATATGTAGCTTTAAAATTACATGTATGTATCATTTTAAATTTAGGTCCTTCTTTGGATTCATGGGACCTCTCACCTTTAATATCATTATGGATAAACAGATTTTACATATATTTGGGCTTTGCCTTTGGTATTAGCCTTTGGATTTGTTTACAGATTGCCATCAGGAAGCAGGTAAGTGGAGATATTTATTTATAGGAGAGTATTTAGGCATTAGATTTCATAGAGAATGTAGAATGAATATTGTCTAAGGCATTCTGAAAAATGCAGAAAAGCTAAAAGGACTTTAAATCACTTTTATATTTAGTCTCTAGACATTTCTTTAATGCCTAAAAAATTTTATTCTCAGTTTTTAAAGGCTAAGTTATTATGGACTAAATTATTTTATTCTCACCTTTTCTTTGATGTGCTGTGGATGTCTCATTTTTAAGATGCAAGAAGATTTTGTAATGAAAAATTCAACTTTCATGAAAAAAACAAAACAGCAAATCTGTCTTACATCTTTAAGGGGTGGTAGTCTCTTCCCACTGATTAAGGATCAAAAAATAAGTTTCTACTCTTATTCTACTAAAATACATTATGAATGAAATGTATAGTTTTGCCCTTGAATAGTACTTTCATACTTGATCTTAGCCAAAAGGCTGGGAAGGGGTAATACTTTTATTCATATAATACTGTTATGGGAATCATTTTGGTTTTAAGAAAAGTAGATTCTGCTTTTTAAGGATCTAATTATACCAAAGGGTTGGTATTTGAGGAGTACACCCAGAAAGATTAGCAGAGTAATAAAATGGGTCAGTATTTGTGCTACTTTTCATTTCTCCTGAAGTTAGGAAAAGATTCAAACTTGATGGATTTGTGTAGTTTATCTTCAAGGACAAGAATTCACAGGAGAAATCAGTTCCAAAAGTGACTCGGGATTTGATGACAAATGGTGATATCTCTCATCAAAAGAAGGAAGTTTTTGTGTCTGGAGTGAAGATTTTTTATGGTTCCCAGACTGGTACAGCCAAGGTAAGAACTTTTTTTTTCTAATCTTCCACCAAGGAGATATCTTCATTGATCTTAGAGAGGAAGAGAGAGAAAGAGAGAGAGAGAGAGACATTGATCTGCATTGATCTGCTGCCTCTTGTATGCCCTCCACCTGGGGATAGAACCCAACCCACAACCTAGGATGTGCCCTGATGGGGAATCAAACCCGCACCCTTTTGGTGTGTGGGACAATGCTCCAACTAACTGAGCCACACTGGCCAGGGCCTAGGTAAGAACTTTTTATGACACTTTTCATTGCATTCCTGATCTTTTAAGAAAATCCCTGATAAGTGTTTTTTAGCAATGAACTGAATTGGTCCTCTCATCTTCGTTCATCTTTTTATCTTCTTTTTTCCCTTTTCCAGCATCTGTTTTTCATTTCTGGGATGGTTGGTAGGTTTTATCTCTTGTGCTCAATTCCAGGTGGTTTGTGGTACCTGGTGGTCGCTGTTGTGAGGTATTTTTGTTGTGAAGCTTGCTGTGGCCATTTTGGGGACAATACTACTGCCCATGTCTGGGCTGGGATTTTTTTTTAGCCATTGTGCTGAACTCTTGGACTCTAGTTTTGAAGATTTGTTTGCATTAATTCTGCTGATAGTTCTGACAGGTAGAACTGCCTTCCATTTTTTTCTCCCATTTTTTGTGGTTCTAACTCCTGTTAGTTGGATGTTAGAGGTTTTGGATGGTCTTCTATGACTCAGACCTTTTTTTTCTTACTTTATGGTAACTTTTTCTTTTCATTCTGGGTTCTTGGATTTTAATTCCAAATCTTTTTTATATGTTTTGTATACACTGTTGTGCTTGTGATTTCCAGTTTCTCTACTCGTGTTTTGGTTAAGCCACTCAGTTAGACGTGTGTGCTCTGATATGCTCCCGGTGACTTCCATTTTGCTAATTAATTAATAGTTTTCATCTTACTTGACTTATTAGCTGCATGACTAATAAGTCTTGCAGCCTTTCTTCTTTAAATACATTCTTCTTTTAAGTTTCTGGTCGTTCTTTAGGTTCTCTTCCTACTTTGCTGAGGCTAGTCTTATTATTACTTGCTGATTTTTTCAGTCTTCTTGACCTTGAAAGATAGTGTCTCAGGGCACAGCCCTTGAGACTGTCTTCATCTGTCTGCATTTACTTTATTCTTTAAGGGATCTTGTTGTATAGAACTTCAGATTCTATCTATTTGATATATTCTATCTATCTATTCAATTCTATCTATTCGATAGAATTTGGCAAACTTTTTCTATAAAGGGTTAGATTTAAAATAAAAAAAAATATATTTTATTTATTTATTTTTCGAGAGAGGGGAAGGGAAGGAGAAAGAGTGGGAGAGAAATATCAATGTATGGTTGCCTCTCATGCGTCCCCTGCTGGGAACTGGCCTGCAACCCAGGCATGTGCCTTGACTGGGAATCGAACTGCGATAACTCTGGTTCGCAGGCCTGTGTTCAATCCACTGAGCTATGCCAGCCAGGGCTTAGATTTAAAAAATTTTATATGTACATCTTAACAGCTAGTGCTGTTGCAGAATAGTCAGTGGGGTCCTATTGCTTGATGCCTATAAGGCAGAACTATGGAGTCAGAAGTCTGGTGGAAAAGGAAAGGGGCTCTTTATTTAATGGCCATACAGTTTTGGAATACTGGCAGGTTTCTGCCGTAGAGTTGTGCTCCCTTTAACCCTGTGGAGGTCGCAGCTGATCTGAGGGATACAAACAAACTCTTGTTTTAAGTATTGTTACACATATTGGGTGCATAGGCTCTGGGTCATGAGTAGCTGCACCTTTGTACGTGGCTAACGTTAACCCATAATGTTTAAGCTGTCAGGTTGGTTATAACATACGAGAATAGAATATTACAACCAGAGAAAGTCAGGAGTTGACACTGTGGACCTAGTGGTAGGTGTAAACAATGTGGCCAGGAACATCAGAAGATGGCCTATGGTTATATTCTACACAGGTTTGAATATTGCCGGGGTAAATGCTTAGACCACATGCTGAACGGCAATGTGAAAATAAGGTGCAGAATATTTATTAGAAATCTGTTAATGTAGTTAGTGTCAGAACAAATAAAAAGGCATTCAGAAATCTCCACAGGTGTGCACGAGCCTTTACACCTGAAAGTTCATCAGTTTCAAACACAGCTTGAAGGAAATTCTAATCGACATAGATATGGCTTCTTTGACAGATGGAAAAAGAAAAAGATGTGTTATGTGCTCTGCATCCAAAATGAGTCACTTATCAAAATATTTTTGCGTGTTTTGAAAAGTATTCATGCCCTGAACATAGCAATATTTTTTGGAACGACTCTTACAAACATTTTGCAAAGTCAACTATTGAAGATTCTGATTAATGTTAAAGCATTTTTTATGGCTGTAATTTTTAGCAACATCCATCTTTCTGTTATTTTTATTCTTTATACTTTTATATTTCTCTGTTTAGTAATTTCTAGATTGTAACTGAAAATAAATAAAATTATGTATTTTATTATATAATATAAAAATGCAAATTTGCAGTGTTTAAAAATTTTTGTTTGCATTTCAGCACATACTAGTAATGAATGTATCTCTCAAAGACACGTCCTACACTGTAATTTTTTAAAGACCTCCACAGGGTTAAAACACCCAAGGACTAACAGTCCTGCCACCCCTTACTAGACCACACCAGTTCAAGGAAGTACCTGGAATCCCCTCTTCCATTCCTAAAAGTACTATCCTTTGTGAAACACAGATGTCTGGAGTATGATCACTGAGGCTGCTTAGCTGGTTCTTGGTTGCAGTTCAGCTCCAGATGATTCTCACGACTCTTGTGTGTGCTTGCTGGAGTCCCTCACAGCACCGCCAGCCCTGCCTTTGCTTTGGGTGTGGGGGTGCACCCAGGTCCACTGGTCTCAGACGCTCAGACCTGCTGCACTGACCAGTCTTGCCAGGGGAGGAGAAAGGCCAGGTTTACTAGGGAGTTGAATTTTAAAGACTCAGTCCAGAAATCAATGCACACTGAGCGCCTGGCTTTTTCATCCATGTGCACTAGTGCCTGCCATATTTGCCAGCTCCCTAGTCCTTTGACCCTTTTCTGACCATTTCGTGGGGCACAAGTTTCCTAGCCACAAGGACACAGTGTCTATTTACCCCTGGTGCGGCATCACCTTGTTAGGCATGTGTCGTGTGACCTTCTCTGCTTGCTCAGTCTCGTTGCTTTGATTACAGTTGCCTGAGGCATGTCCTGTGCAGCTGCTATTTCAGTCTGCAGTCTTCTGTGCTTCCTACGAGCCCCTCCCTTCTGGGGGAAGTGTTGGCTCTGGAGGGTTTCTGCCCTGCTCCCCAGTGATCTGGCCAGACCCCCCTGTTACAATATGGTCTTTCCTGCAGCTGCTTAACTCCACTGATGCAGTGTGGAAGTGGCCATAGACCAGGGGAGTTAAACCCATTTTCACCAGGGGCCACATCAGCCTCATGGTTGCCTTCAAAGGGCCAAATGTAATTTTAGGACTGTATAAATGTAACTGCTCCTTAATAGTTAAGCTAGAGCTCAGCTGCCACCAGGTAACAAGGTGCCAGGCTGGATAAAACAAGGTGGAGGGCCGGATTTGGCTCATGGGCCTTGTGTTTGCCACTTGTGCCATAGACAGTGTGTCAGTAAATGGACATGACTGTATTCCAGTGACCTTTATCTATACAAACAAATTGAGGGCTGGATTTGGCCTGTGGGCCTTTGTTTGCCGACCCCTGTATTACATGATGGACTCTAAATATATGTTTTTAATCCAAATTGCTCCTCAACTCCAGAATCTTATATCCAGTTGCCTGTCTTAGATCTTCATGTGGTTGTCTAGTAGACATCTCAAAATTAATGTGCTCATAACTGAACTCTGATTTTCTTCTCGAAGCCATTCCACTTATAATCATTCTTATTTTAGTAAATGACAACTTTATTCTTCTAGTTGCCTAGTTCAAAAATACGCCTTTGACTTCTTTTCTTATTACCCATATCCAGTCTGTCAGCAGATACTGTTTTTTCTACATACAAAACAGACCTGGATTCCAGTCACTTCTCACCACGCTCACTACTGCACCCTGGTCCAAGCCACACCCCTGTTTTGTCTGGGTAACTACAGTCATCTCACCATTGGTCTTCATTCAGCACTGCCCCGCCCCTTCTGCAATTTCAGCGTATTCCCAACTCAGCAAAACCTTATACAGGTTTCATTATGTAGGTACAATTGATTAAATCATTGGCCATTGATGCTTGAACCCACTGAGAGAAAGGACGCTCAGAGTTCTAAACCTGTGATCACCTGGTTGGTTTTCTGGCAACCAGCCCTATGCAGAAACTACCTAGGGCTCATCCCTCCTGACGTCATTTCATTAGCATATCAAAGACAGTACGTTCTGAAGGTTTAGGATTCTGAGAACTGGAGATAAAGGTCAAATATTTATTATACACTCCTGTCTTAGCCCTCTCTATGTAAAATATCAACTCTTCCTCTTATCTTCAGTATTGTATTTTCCCCTTATCCTGATTTATTTTCCCCCATAGCACTATTTACCATCTGATATACTGTTTATTTTCTCATTTCTAGGTTATTTTCTCTTTGTTCACCAGAATATAAGCTCCTTGAGGGCAGGGACTGGTTCTTGTTCACTGTTGTGTATTAGTGCCCAGAGCTCAGACCGGCATAGTAGATGGCCAGTAAGTGAACACACGCTTGGCAGGCTTTGCTCAGTATGAAAGAGGAGGGCGTTTTCCTGGGGTGCCAACATCCGGGATGAGGTTATAGATTTCCCCAGACATTCGGTCTTTTTTGTATGAGATGTAGAGGTGTGCTGCCTGGGAACAAAGGGCGGGTGCTGCTGAAGCTCTGCGCACACTTCTGTGCTCGTCGGCTCTTCTCTTCCCCCGGTTTCCTCCCATTTCTGCGGTAGTGAACCCTAGGACTTGCCCTGGTCCGTCGTCCTGCCTGTTTGCTTTCTCCTGTCTGTCGTCTTGCCTGTTTGCTTTCTGTCTTCCAGGAATGTGTTCACATTTCTCGTATTTTCCATTCTCTTCTCTCATCAGTATTTTTTGTGTGCCTCTGTGTCTTTCGTGGTGGGGCAAAGCAGCTGGAATGTCTAAAAGCCACTTTAGATTTACCGTATATACTTTGAGGAAAATGTTGAATGATCGATCTCTATAAAGATGCTTGAGAAAATGGTAAAAGTGTGAACAGTATTTGTGTGTATGTGTTTTTAAGAAAGATTTTATTAATTTTTAGAGCGGGGAAGGGAGGGAGAAAGTAGGAGGGAAACAGTGATCAGTTGCCTCTTGTATGTGCCTTGACCAGGGACCAAACCCACGTAACCTAGGCATGCGCCCTCACTGGGAATTGAAATGGTGATGTGTTGCTTTGTGGGATGACTCCCAACCAACTGAGACACACAGGTCTGGGCAGTATTTGTGTTTCTGATGACAAATGTCAGTCAGTGGGAAAATTTTTCATGAGAAATGCCTCATTCTCTTCCCAACAGGTGTAAATGAAGACAGTGTTCTGCTTATTTAGCTTATTGAAGATTGATTTTCTTTCTCTCTTATTAGAAATTTGCAACAGTTCTTGCCGAAGCTGTTACTTCCCTAGATCTGCCTGTGGCAATTATTAATCTGAAGGACTATGATCCAGATGATAATCTAGTAGAAGAGGTTGGTAATTGTCTTATTTTCTCTTTAATCACAATTCAAATTTAATTGACCTTTTGTGTTCTGGGATAAATAGAATCATCAGAGTAAATTCCGTTTTCATGCTAAGAGATTTCGCTTGGTTCACTTTCCGGCAGCCATCAGAGGTGTGGAACGTGTGGTGTGGTATACTGATTATCAAGTGGTGTGGAGCCTGTCCCTTTGGTGTGTTAGACTCCTGGGGTGGGGAAGCCGAGTGGTTTGCAGTTCCCAACGCCCTCCTGCTTTGAATCTCACAGTCAAGGAGGATTGTTATTGACGGCAGTGAGCTGTGCGTGTGAACCATGTGTAAGCCTACTGTGAGGCTGGGAGCCACTTGGGTAGCAGAAGTATAGGTTTTGGAGTTGAGAAACCTCTTACTAGTTGTGTGACCTTCCTATATTAGTTAATGTCTATGAGAGTTAAATTTCTTGATCTGAGAATTGCCCGTCCATTTCCTCTAGTTCTACCTATTTAGGGAAGTTTACTTTATAGTAGTTGTTCTCAAAGTGTGGCCCTTGAACTAGCAGTATCAGCATCTCCTGGGGAATTGTTAGAAATGCACATTCTTAGGTCCTATCCTGGCCACGCTGACCCAGTGTGTGGATGTGTTTTAACAAGTGCCCCAGGTGATTCTGAAGCAGCTAGAGTCGGAGAAGCACTTAGAGTGTGAATGGACAAACCTTTTCTGTAAAGAGCCAGGTACTAAATATATTCAGCTTTGTGGGACATGCAGCTACAGTTCTGCCTTTGAGGCACAAAACCATAGGCAGTGTGTAAACAAGTGAGCGTGGCTGTGTTCCAATAAAACTTTATTGATGAAAACAGGTAGGAAGCTGGATTGGGCCTGTAGGCTGCAGTTTGCCAGCCCCTTCTTAGTGGATAAACTTCTAGTTGTCCATCTTTCTCTCCCCCAAGAAAACACTGTAGTGCAAATGAGTCGGCTTGGATGTACTCTAAATTATTTGTTAAAAATTATTAGTAAATCTTGATACTTAACAATTAGCAAGGGATTACTTGAAATTTACCTCCTGACTTGGGACTGTTAAAAAATACATTCGGGCAGATGAAATACTATGACTAACAGACTGAAGATGTATGTATTTTGTTTCCCCTGGTAGATGATAGTGCTAAGTTGAAACTTCATGTTTTAAAAGTTTTATTGCTTTCATTTTTCAGGTAATGTTTTAGAGATCTTTCTGTATTTTTTTCCAACTGATTTGCATTTTGTTTCCAGTATGACAAATTGGAGATGAGAGGAGTTGGTGGTCTGAGAAATGGAACGGGGTAGATGGTGCAGGGCAGCGGGAGGTACATTGGCAAGGGACTGGGCTTTCTCCTCTGTGCAAGGGGGGTCCTTGCTGTGTTTTCTTTCCCTTGTCCTTAGAAATTAGTATAGCAGGAGCGTCAGCATTAAAAACAAGTTTTCTTATTGAATATTTTTCTGAAATAACTGCTTTCTTGGTTAGGTTACTAGTAAAAATGTTTGCGCCTTCCTGGTTGCTACGTACACTGATGGGCGACCGACTGAGAGTGCAGAGTGGTTCTGCAAATGGTTAGAGGAAGCATCCAGTGACTTTCGGTTTGGCAGGACTTACCTGAAGGGCATGAAATATGCGGTGTTTGGTCTCGGGAATTCTGTCTATGTGGGCCACTTCAATAAGGTAAGTACAAGGTAGATGTATGCTGAATTATAGGGGTGAGTTATCTTAATAAAAACATTAACACATATACATAGACATATATATGTGCACGTGAAATCATCTGTAACCTTTGGTACTTAATAATAAACTGTGTTATTCTTTGTAGCTGGGAATCGCTACACATATATATCCAATCTCGGTGTATAGTAGGTTGTCAGTAAATTTTTATTGAATAAAATAAAATGCCTCCTATTGTCTGGTGTCTTACGGGCCTGGATCCATAGGCTTTGAGTTCAGCCTTCTGTCCCCAAGCAGGACCTTGTGGATGGAAAATCGCTGATTCTTTGGGCTTCTTCAGCTGCTTGGTCTGTTGCTGAATAACCTTTATCACCCAAGCTAACTCTTAATACAGTTGAACTCGTTGTCTTTTAATTATTAATTTTTAAAGGGCAATAGAAGAAAAATATTCATTGCCCTTTATGGAATAAAACATTTATGGTTTTCCTGAATTTTTTTTCTAAATCAAATTAACTTGGCTACTTTTCTTTTGCATTCTATTCTCTATGCTTTAAAAAATAAAAATTTGGAGACTTCTCAGTTCCTTAGTGGTTCTAAAAAGTTACTAGAACTTTTGCACATGGGCCGAGATGTTGGCCCAGCTTCGCTCACCTGTCTTTGGTAGAATGTGAGGAAAGATGAAAGTGGAGATCTTTCTCTGACCTTGCTTTCATTCAATTGGTACATCAAGATGTATATTTTCCCCCATATTTTCAAAGTAATTAGACAAAGACTGGTAAAATTTCAATATGTGAATATTTTGTTTAATGCCTTGCCACTCAGGAAGTCTGTTAAAAGCTTTTTGACTCTTAACTGTGCTTCTTGAAAACCCCTGCTCCCCAGCTTCACTACTTCATATTGCAATGAAGTAAATTTCTGAGCTTATGAAATGATGAGTCTTGCCAGGTGGGTATCATGTTCGTTTTGTAGTAAATGGGCTTTGGCCCCAGAAGCTTTGTTAACATTTTGATAATGAGTTATTTTATTCTGACATTATTTAGAATAGTGGCTTTCAAATTCTTTTTAAGGCATCTAACCCTTAGTTTAATAAGACGGTTTGCCTGTCTTTTTGTTCAGAAGCCTTTTGCAGAATCTTATCATAATCTGGCCACTGCAGCCCTTGTGGGTTGTGGTTGGGACCGGAGGGCTGGAGGCCCTTTTGGCTAAGCAGTTCCCTCCTCCCAGCTGCTGCAGGGTCCCACAGGAAATTCAGGCTTTCGCAGAGCAGTCTACAAACCTGTGATTTAGATTGTGTCTCTAGCTCATCTATCTCTTTCTCGCAGGTTGGCAAGAATGTTGATAAGTGGCTGTGGATGCTCGGTGCCCATCGTATGATGACTCGAGGGGAAGGTGACTGCAGTGTGGTTAAGAGCAAACACGGCAGCATTGAAGCTGATTTCAGAGCTTGGAAGACCAAGTTTGTCTTTCAGCTCCAGGTGCTTCTCAAAGGAGAGAAGAAGTCCTGTGACGGCAATTGCAAGAAAGGCAAATGCGAATCTAATCAGCATGGCTCAGAGGAGGTGGAGCCAGGGTCTCCTACCCAGGACGGATTGCGGCAGAGAGACGCTGAGGTGTGTAGCCTGTGTGCTCTTGTCTCTCTGCTTTTCTTCTGTGTTTGGAGACGCTGTACCTTAACCTGTGCCCTGAGAAACTATTTCATTGGTTTCTTGTTAGAAGGAAGACCTGAAACTCATGGAGGGGGTTGTTTTAGAGAGTGCAGCCTTGGGAGCATGTTGTGCTGGATGCTCTCCTGCATCTCTTCTGTAATCACTGCATTGCTAGAGTCACGCAGATTTCTACCACGATTTCCAGGTTAGGAAACAGAGGCCTGGAGACGTTAAATTTGTCTCTGGCTGAGCTCATAAAAGGAGGGCTACAAACCATGTAGCCCTCCTTGCCGCTCTTATTTAATGACTATTAATCACTCTAACAAGTTAGCCTTTAAAGGCTGCAAGGCATCCTAGATTCATTTCTTTCATCCTCACATTCTAAAAACATGTCTTTCTCCAGATGCCCTGGAGTTCCTTTGAAGCTCTTGTTATCAGGCCGTATCACAGCCGTGTGCCTTGGCTACCTGGTCACTTGTTTCATTCAGGAACAATTTACATTCTGACTCTCCGCCCTTATTCCTGTCATTAGTCTTTGTGGCTAGGCGTCCATGTTGTTGTTTTATCTCACACCCTGGCTTTGCCAGTTTCCTGGGCTTTAAACCTCCAGGAACCATTTTATTCTCTGACTGTGGCCTCTCACTTCCATGGTCGCCTCTGAAATTTCATGTTCTTGTGACCCAGACTCTGACCTCTTTCTGGTGCTTCCACTTTAAAATTCTTTTGATCCTCTACGGATAGTGGAGGCTGCCTACTTCACACTTCCATCCTTACGTGGTTTAGATTTTGTACTCATTCATCTATAAACATCTTCGATTGCCTTGCCTTCCACTCCATTTTACAACCCAGTTGGCTGAACTCCAAGCCAGGTTGAAACCTGCCATCTGCCTTCTGCATTGCTGGCTGCTTGCTGTTTGACCACAGTTTTATGACCACAGATTCAATTATGAATTCAGAACTTACCAGCAGTCTCCAACATTCTCTTGTAAGTTCCCTTTCTCTCCAGGATGACTGTTTAATACTCTCTTTCTCCCTGCCCCGTTCTCCAGCTCTCAAATGAAACCATCTGGGAAGAATTCTCTTACAGCCCCTGCCCCATCTGCAAACCTTCGCGTCTTTTCTGCCCCAGAAGACAAGAGTCTGGTTCTGTCAAAGACCACTTTCTGTGCCTGCTCTGGAAGCAAGGACTTTGGTTCCTTTGCTTACCGCATGTCACTTCTGCCTTGTTAATCTTTCCTCCCTTCTAGATGCTTCCCAGAAATATATTAACATGCTCTGGAATCATCTGTATTTAAACAACACAAAAAGCAAGTAAAAACCAAATCTTCCTTTGTTCTGTCTTTCAGCTGTTGTTTCATTTTTTGTTTTCTTTTTCTAGCTAGTCTTTTTGCTTGCATTTGCTTATTTTTCTCTCCAATTTGCTTTTCATGTTAAACAAGACTTTTTAAAATACTGAGGTAAAATTCATATAAATATAGTCCAATTTTACTTAAAACATTCACAATTTTGTGCGACCATTACCTATGTCAAGTTCCAGTTCCTTTTCATCGTCTCAGAAGAGAACCATGAAGCAGTCACTCTCCCGCTTTCCCCGGTCCTGACAGCCTCCAGTTTGCTTCCTGTCTCTATGGAGGTACCATTCAGGATATTTCACACAAATGGAATCGTACCTGGTTTTGTCTGCCTTCTTTAAGCATAAAGTTTTGGAGAGGTCATCCACGTTGTACATGTGTTGGTACTTTGTTCCTTTTTATGGCTGAATAATACTCCATGGTGTGGATATATCACTTTTTGTTGATCCATTTGTATGTCGATGGACATTTTAGTTATTTCTGCCTTTTGGCTGTTGTGAATAGTGCTGCTCTGACATTCATGTACAGGCATTTGTGTGAATAACTCTTCAGTTCTTTTGTGCGTATACCTAGGAGCGGAATTGCTGGGCCGTGCGGTGGTTCTTTGTTTAGTTTTTGGAGGAACCACTAGTTTTCTGCAGTGTCTGTACCATTTTACATTTCCAGCAGCAAAGTACAAGGCTTTAAATTTCTTCACTTCCTTGGCAGCACTTCTTATTTTCCTTTTTTTTTTTAAAAATTATTACGGTCATCCTAGTGAGTATGAAGTAGGGTCTCCTTGTCATTTTTATTTGCAGTTACCTCTAATGGCTTTTCGTATGTTTATTGCCAGTTGTATATCTTCTTTGGAGAAATGTCTGTTCAAGTTCTTTGCCATTTTTAATTGGGTTCTTTATCTCTTGGCTGTTAACTGCTAAGAGTTCTTTATTACATTTTAGATAGTAGACCTTTATCAAATATATTATTTTCCCCAATATAGGTTTTCTTTTCACTTTTTTGTCATGTCCTTTGGCGCACTAAAGTTTTAAATTTCTATGAAGTCTAATTTATCTGTATTCTTTTGTTGCTCACGTTGTTAGAGTAATGAAGGTAAATTCATTGCTAAATGCAAGGTAATGAAGATTTAATCCTGTGTTTTCCTCTAAGAATTTTATAGATTTATTTCTTATATTTAGGTCTTTGATCCATTGTAAGTTAGTTTCTGTGCATGGTGTGAGGTAAGGGTCCAATTTTATTCTTTGACATGTGTATGTCCAGTCGTCCCAGCACTGTTTGTCGAAGAAACTGTTCTTTTCCTATTGAATGTACTCAGCACCATTGTCAAAAGTCCATTGTCCATAGATGTGTGGATTTTCTGGATTCTAAATTCTATTTCAATGATCTATCGGTCTATCCTTGTGCCAGTACCACTGCAGATTTGTAGTTAAGTTTTGAAATCAGGAGTTCTCCAACTGTGTTCTTTTCTGATATTGTTTTGGCTATTTGGAATCTCTTGTAATTCCGTGTGAATCTGAGGAGTGGTTTTTCCATTTCTGCAAAACTCATCATTAGGATTTTGATAGGGCTTGCAGAGTCTGTGAATCACTTTGGATACTATTGTCATCTTAGCCATAAAGTCTTTCAACCTTGAACATGGGATGTCACCTTTTATTTAGGTGTTCTTGAATTTCAGCAATATTTTGAGTTTCCAGTGTCCAAGTATTTCACTCTTCGGTTAAATTTTTTCTTATTATTTCTTTACATGCTATTGAATTCTAATATGGTCAGAGAATATAGTTTGGATGATTTTTCTTTTAAAATTTGTTGAGACTTATTTGGGGCCTAACATATAGCCTGCCTTGGAGAGTATTCCGTGTGCAATTGAGAAGAATGTGTAATCAGTTTTTGGGGGGGATGTTCTGAATAAGTCAGTTAGATTTAATGGGATTATAGTGTTGTTGAAGTCCTGTGTTTCCTTATTGATCTATCCACTTGTTCTGTTTATTGAAAGTGGGATATTGAAGATTTCAACTGTTAATGTAGAACTTTTTCTTTCTTCAGTTCTATCATTTTTTTTGCTTCATATTTTCTTGGTCAAGTTAGGTGCATGCATGTTTATAATTGTTAAATCTTCTCGATATGTTAATGTCCTTTGTCTCATGTAACAATTTGGACTTAAACCCTATTTTATCTGATACTAGTATAGTTACACCTATTCTCTTTGGGTTACTACTTGCTTGGAATAGTTTTTTCTATTTTTTTTCCTGTTATGTTTCTTGTAGATAGCATAGAGTTGGTTCCTGTTTTTCTTTTTAAATTCATTTTACCTGTCTCCGCCTTTTTATTGGAGAGTTTAATTAATTTCATTTAAAATTACTGATAGGGATGTACTTTTGTTATTTTATTATGCTTTCTATATATCGTACATCTTTTCCTCAATTTCTTTGTTACTGCCACCTTTTGTGTTTTATTGATTTTTTTTCTGATATACCATTTTGATTCCTTTCTCGTTTCTGTTTCTGTACATTTTAAAGTTATTTTTCTGAATAGTAATTTCTTGTTTTCTGCAGGGGATTGGTTCCAGGACCTTCTGCAAAAACCAAAATCTGTGGATGCTGAAGTCTCTTATATAAAATGGTGTCGTATTTGCGTGTAACCTTTGCGCAGCCTCCTGTATACTTAAAATCCTCTCTAGATGACTTATAATACCTAATACAATGTAAATTCTACGTAAATAGTTTACATACTGTTTAGGGAATAATTACAGGAAAAAAAAGTCCGTACATATTTAGTATAGATGAACCACCGTAGGCCTAACTACATGTCAGCAACAATGTAACATTATTTTTCAAATATTTTTGATCCATGGATGTGGAACCTGTAGATGCAGAGGACTGTTGTTACCCTAGGGATTGCCATTAACCTCTTTGGCTTACAGTACTCCGTTTGGATTAGTACCACCTTAGTAAACAAAAACTGCTCCTAGTCAGCTCTGACTCTTTCCCTCTAGGTTGTTATTACCAATTTCAGCTTTATACACTGTGTGATCATTAGCATGGATTTACAGTGAACTGTCTTATGTACTTGTCTTTGAAGTCATATAGACAAAAAGAGAAGTTACAAACCCAAAATGTAATAATGCTGGGTTTTGTATTTACCTATGCAGCTACCTTTATCACTGTTTTATCTTCGTGTAGCTTTGAGTCATTATCAGGCGATCATTCCTCTCATGCAGGTCTTCTGTAAATGAACTTTTTCAGTTTCGTTTATCTGAAAATACCTCCATTTCTCTTACAGTTTTGAAGGATGGATTTACTGGATATAGAATCCTTGGTTTACAGGTTTCTTTTTTTTCTTTCAGTGGTTTAAATATGCCTTTCCTCTGCCTTCTGGCCTCTTGAGGTTCCTGATGAGAAATTGGCTATTAACCTTAACTTTTCTGAGGACCCCCTTGTATGTCAAGAGTTGCTTCTCTCTTTATTACTGTCTTGACAGTTTAATTATAATATGTCTCAGTTTGGTCCTCTGAGTTTAATCTTCAAGTTTATTGAAATTCTTGAATGTGTTGACTCATGTATTTTTATCAAATTTGGGAAGTGTTCAGTCAGTGTTTCTTCAAATATTATTTCTGCTCCTTTTCTTCTGTCCTTCTGAGACTCTCCTTTTGTATTTGGTGGTACATTTGAAGGTGTCCTGTAAGTCTTTTAGGCTCTGTTTGTCTTTCAAACTGGCTAATTTCAACGGATCTGTCCTTATGTTTGCTAATGTTTTTGCTGTCACAATCTGGTATTGAAACCCTCCAGTGAAAATTTCAGTTTAGTTATTAAGCTTTTCAGCTCAAGAACTTATGTTTCCTTTTTATAATTTTTATCTCTGTGTTGATATTCCCTATTTGTCAAGACATGGTTACCTTCAGCTCTTTGTCCATGGTTTTCTTTAGCTCTCTGAGCATATCTGAGACAGTCAGCTTAGTCTTCACTAGTAAGTCCAACGTGTGTGTTTCCTCAGGGGCGGTCTCTGTTAACTTCTCCTGAGTAGGCCACTGTTTTGTTTCTCTGCGTGCTTCCTGGTGGTTTTTTTTTCTTTAAAAGCTGCACATTTTTAATCATATATTAACTCTGAAAATCAGATTTCCCCCCATTTTCAGAGTTTATTTTTATAGTTTGCTGTGAGTTGTAATTGTTCATTTAGTAACCTTTTAAAACTTTTTGTGGACTGTATCTGTTGTCATGCGTGTTTCTGAAGTCTGTTTATTTAGCTTGTGTTCATTCAGGTAGAATTTTGACGTACCTTTTAAAAGTTTTCTTAAAATGCGTTTTAACAAGGCTTTTCTTTTTCCTAATTCATTGTTTACTTGGTTGTTATAAACCTGTGACTAGTTCCCGGAATTCTGACAAAGTTGAATTAGTTGTTTTTTTCCTTAACTTTTAAGTGTTTTTGTGGGGGAAATAGGCCCTCGGAGTTACCTACTCTTCCATTTTTGCTGGTACCACCATTATCCTTAACATTCAAGGATTTTTAACTTAAAAAGTTAAGTTAAAACATTTTTAGAATTAAAAGGACGTTTAAAATCACAAAAAGTACTTCTAGGCTTATAATTAAAAATTGCACTGCCTTGCCTCATTCTGTCTAGTTCTTATTTCCCCAACCCAACCACTTTTCATTCTTTTAGCTTTTTCATAGGCCATTTACCCCTATACCTCTAATAATACCTCTATACTGCTATTTCTTGATTTTTTTGTAAAATTTGAAAATCACACACACACAGAGTTCCCTTTCATTTTCTTACATACTTGTATCATACTTTTTGCTTAAACCATTAATCATTGTTTCATTATTGTGATTGTATATATATATTCACATCTATCAATTATATTACTATATTTTCATTCTTGTGCATTTATGTTCCTTAGTGCTGTATCTGCTTTGATTTTTCTATAATCATCACTACTTCATTATAAAACTCTTAATAGAATCGAAAATTGTTTTCAATATTGTGTAGTTTTTATTGATTTCTTGGAGGCACTCCTGAGCTGTCTGCCCTACACTGGTGTGTCTGCCCTCCAGGCCTCGGTGCAGCTGAAGTCCGTGTCTTCCCTCCACTGTGACGTACAGCTTTGCTTTCACCAGCTTCCTGGGTGGGATTCTGGAACCTGGTACTTCATATCTTCTTATTGCTTGATTGACTCTTGTTTTTTGGAGCACATTCTCTGAGAAAGGGTGTTTGGATGTGAATTTTCAGATTCATCATACCTGCATGTCTTTACCCTACCTTCACAGTTGCTTAATGCTTCAGCTGAGTATAGAATTCTAGGTGGCAGTAACTTTTCTTTCAGAAATCGAATGCATTGATCCATTGGCTTTTAGTTAAGTGTTGCTTTTGGGAGCCCCAGTTTACTTTGGTTCTGAATTTTTATTATATAATTCTCCACTCCTCCCACAAACCTTCAGACTTCCAAATATAGTCCCTCTAACCATATTTTACTCAGCTCTTTCACCCAATTTTTTTTTTTTACCTATCTTTCTCACTTTCATCTCTTGAACAGGGTATTTTTTTGTAGTTTATCTTCACACCACGGATGCAGCCTGTGGGGTAGCAGCTTCGACTCTTCTCTTCTGTGTAAGACTCTCCCCCTAGTATCTTCCACTTGGCTTTACCTGCTCTTCTCTTGTCCCGTACAGCTGTCAGAATAGGTTCTCCAGAGTTCAACAGATACTTTTAGCTCCATTTCTAACTTACCTCTAAAGATTCTATTTGTAGTTTATACCTATTCTCATTTGAGTCCTTACATTTTTGCCAAACCAGTGATACATATGTATTAAGCCCTGGCTGGTGTAGCTCAGTGGATTGAGCGTGGGCCTGGGAACCAGAGGATTGTGGTTCGATTCTCAATCAGGGCACATGCCTGGGTTGCAGGCCGGTTCCCAGCTGGGGACACATGAGAGGTAACCATACAGTGATGTTTCTCTCCCTCTGTTCTTCCCTTCCCCTCTAAAGATAAATAAATAAAATCTTTAAAAAAAAGAAGAGACAATTAAAAAGAAAGATTATGCATTAAAAATATTACTGAGTTTTATTTATCTTCTACAAGAGAGTTGTTTAATGTAATCTACCCAAGAGCTGGGAGCAGAAGTCCTGGTTAACTCTAACTCACTCTGTTTGGCTCTCTGCTCCACTGATGCTACCCTTCTCTAGGTCCAAAGGACTGCATATTGTCAAGCCTCTCGGATATTTCTCTGTCTTCATATTACTTGTCTTCTGAACAGTGCTGGATATTGCTGACTTCTTTATAGCACTCTCTTCACTTGACTTTCATGGCATCATTCTTATGGTTTTCTTTCTTTTTCACTTGTGATCTTTTTCCTTTATTAACCTTTACATGTTGGAATCGTTAAAGGTTTAGTGCTGGATTCTGTTCTTTGTTGGTACTTTCTTCCTGGATGATCTTGCATAGTTTTATGGCTTTACATACTCTCTAGATGCCGGTTATTCCTAGGTTTTTATTTTTAGGTCTAAAGTCTACCCTTAATTGTGTTCTTATATCCAGGGTCTGACACAGATAACATCCCTTTTTATTACAAAATCATAAGCATGTAATTCTGTAACAAAACAGTATAACACCATATGATATTTTAGGTGAAATGTTCGAATTAAAACTATAAATTATTACACCCATGTTATTACCCTACCAACCACTCAAGCAGGCATTATTTCTGCTGGACCCTGTATATAAGTGCCTCTTTAAAATTGTGGATGTTGAATGCATCTCATATTTCACAAATGCAAAATGGAGCTCCTCATTTCCACTTTCCCAGTCTGTTTCTCCCCAAGTCTTTCTTGTCTTAGTAAACACCACTACCAAGAAATCTAAGAGTCATGCTTGATTTCTTCCTTTTCTTCATTCCTGCACTAATTTCTCACTAAGTCTGGTTGGTTCTTTGTCTAAAAGAGTGGTCAGGAAACTATTTCTCTAAAGGTCCAGCTTGTAAATATTTTCAGCTTTGTGGGGCATGTGGTTTATGTTGCAACTATCAGTTCTGCCATTGTATCCAGAAAGTGGCCATAGATAATATGTAAATAATAATGGGCACCATCCGATTTGACCCCAGGCTAGTCGGATTTGGTTTGTGGGTGTATTTTGCTGATCTCTAGCCAAAGATATTTGATATTTATCCAGTGACCTCAGAACTGGGGAGGGGGTATTAGATGGTTTCCTACTTTGAACATTGTGTTTCTAAAGTTTCGATGTTCCAGGAGGAGGAGCCCTGTGAGAGTTCCAGTGGGGAGGAGTCTGGTACCGAGGACCACCAGAGTCGCACTTCTGTTGTTGATGTGGAGGACCTGGGCAAAATTATGAGTCATGTGAAGAAAGAAAAGGTACTGTAATTTTGGGAAATCATAAACTCGGATCCTGCAGTGGGTTAACATCTAGCACTCTGTATTGGTGTGTAGTCCATCTGAGCTCATCATTAGACAGTTTTATTTATTTGCCTCCTGTCTTGAGAGTTTTATGCTTTTTTGCTATTTTTATATGAGCATTGTGAAAGTCTTTCCTTTCAGCTCTGTGAAAATGAGCTTGTAGTAGGATAGGCAAATATTTTAGGACAAGAACTGAGGAAAGGCTAGATGGTAGGAGGGACTTAATTCATTTTGTAGCTGAAGGTGACAGCATGATAAGATTGATTCGTGTTAAGATTTCAAGTGGAACTCTTGTGTAATGTTGTTGCTTCCCTGTCTTCCGAACTGAGTGGTGTTGGGCTGAGGGCTGAGGGCAGCTGGCTGTGTAGGTATTGAGATCAGTGCGGGTGGAGACCCTAAGAATCTAGGAGATGTCAGGCTGAGTCGTCGTTGTTGCGGTGACTAAATGAGTGTGAGAGTGTAGGATTTTTGTGCAGATTCCAATGATCTAAAATTGAGATAACATACTATATACAGTTATATAAAGAGGTAAGGTCTCAATTTATGTGTGAGTTTTGGGAAATGAAAATATTCTAAACTAAAAATACATCAAGTGCATAAATAAGTCTTAGGAACAAAATAAATACAACTATGAAAAGTCCAAGAAAATCAATCATAAAATTAACGCAAACTCAAATGAAAAGATTCAGTAAGGTAGCAGGATATTATATGCTAACAAGTCAAACAGCTTTTGTATTTCCAAACAATAACCAGTTAGATGCTGTCATGGAAGAAAAGATCTCATTTACAATAGTCACATAAAGAATAAATAACTGTATAGAAAGGCATTAAAAAAGAAATACCCTAAATCTATGTGAAGAAAACATTAAAATATTTTTGAAAGATGTAACAGCGCCTTGGACAAATGGAAAGAAATCCTTGTTTTTAGATACGTGAACTCGGCATCGCAAACATGTCAGTACTTTTAAGTTGAAACATAAATTTGATGCAATCCAATAAAAAGTCCAGTAAAGTGTTTCTGGTTGATTCATGTGAAAAAATAAACATGCAAGGATAGCTAGGAAAACCTTGTGGCAAAAGTAGTAATGAGAGAGACTAGCTCTATCAGATATTCAATCTTACTACAAGGCATCATTAATTAAAACTGGTTCTGGCTTCTGATGAGACAGACAGGCCATTGTAACAGAATGAAATTCTAGGAGTAGACCCAACTGTATATGGGAATTTCACATATGATAAAGGTGGCATCTCTTTTCCCTAGTGTGAAAATACACTTTTAAGATAAATGATGTTGATACCTGGATAGCTAGTTGTGAAAAGATAAAACTAGCTCTGTCCTTCACACGTACGTCAGAATAAACTCCAATTAGGGTCACAGATCTACATGTTGAAAAAATATGTAAATAACACATTTAGATGAATTATTTTATAACTCAGAGAAAGGTTTTTTTCTATGATTCAAAATCTAGAAGCAAATAAAAGATTGAATTTATCCATGTTTTTTAAATAAAGATTTACATGGCTATAAGCAAAACCAAAAGACAAGTGATAAAGTGAGGAAAAATATTTGCCCCTTATAAAGAAGGGGTTAAATTTTCTACTACACAAAGCACTCTTAAAAATTGAATAATACGAAGAAAGACCTAGAACCTACTAGAAAAAATGGCAAAACACATGAATTGGTAAGTATCAGGAAAAGCTCTACAAGTAGACTAAACATATGAGAAAAGTGCTCAAATGAAAACTACAGTGACATGTTTCTCACCTGTCAAAACAACAAAAATTCGAAAATCGGGCAGTATGCAAGTGGTGCAGCTCTGGGGACATGGGCACTCACACCTTGCTGAGGGAGTCCAGAATGGCGGAGCCTGTGTGGAGGGCTCTTCAGTAGTCTTGACCAAATTTACATGCATGTGCCCTGCATCCAGCAGGCCCACGTGATAATCTCCAGCAGGCCTTGGAGATAAATCTTCACAAATACAAAACTACATCTGCACAAGATTATGTCTCACAGCATATGTAGCAAGCAACTCTCAGATACAGGTTGGAGAAAACCATAATATATCCATAAAATATAATATTGTGCAGCTGTGAAAAATAATAAGGTATACTCATATACATTAATGTAATTTCTAGGTAGTGTTGGGTTTGATTTGGAAGATGACATGAAGTTAAGATTTTTAAAAAATGTATGTTATTGTCATATCATACTTACAAGTTTGTAACTTAAGTATATGAGTATATAAATGATATTTTGTAGCTGTGTTCGTGGAAAGGATCTTTCATGTTCTCACACCAACTAACAACCAGTTCAATTTCTGGACTAATTTCAGTTCAATTACAGGTCACTACAGTGACCTGTCGTCCAGTTCCATTCTGACACTAACCACCAGGAGTTAGCATCAGACTCCACAGGTTTAGGGCATAGTTCTGCACAAGAATGCCCCCACTTCAAAATGCTGTAAGTCTTGGGGGCCACCTGTACTTCTTTTGTTATCAATTTGGGGGCTCTTGACCCCCTGAGGTTAGATGATTTGCTAGAATGACTCAGAATTCACTGAAAGCACTGTACTTGTGATTATACTTGTATTATAAGGAATACAAATTGGAAACAACCAAATGGGAAAACACTCTTAGGGCAAGTTCTGGTAGTGGAGGGGTGGGGAAGAGATCCAGAGTTTTTGTGCCCTCTCCTCATGGAATCTGGGCCCTCTGACCGACCACATCAGTGTGCTCCCCACTCGGAAGCTCTACTGAATGCATCCAGAATTTTTATTCTGGGGCTTTATCATTTTGACAGGATTGAACACAATCTCCGACCGACCGCCCCTCCCTGGAGGTTCATAGGCCCAGAGTTGCATTTTGTGGTTGGTCTTTCTGGTGCCCCAGTCCCCACCTACCAGGGGCCACCTCATTAGCATAACAAAGACACTTCTGTCACTTAGGAAATGCCAACGTTTTTTGAAGCTCTTCGCCAGGATTCTTTATTAGTGTAGAAACAAAGCACTTGGGTCTTGTTTTCTAAATATCATTCCCCACTGACAGGACCAGGGCTCCTAGGAGAAATGGCTGGTTTCCGGTTTGGGGAAGGGAGAATAATAGATGGGCCTGGTACATCTTGTTGAACAACTAGGTCCTCAACGACTGATGGAGATATGCCAAAAGGACGTAGGAACCAGCATGAAGAGTTTCCCACAGGCCAAATTTGGGACAATTTGAACATTAAAAATGAGTGTAATGATTATATAATGAACACAATGGACTGTATTACATCAGGTTAAAAAAAACCAATCCTCCTGCTACACAAACAAAGGGGAAGCACAGGAGAAAGTCTTTGCAGAAAGTTTCCACATAGTGTACAAGCCACGATAGAATTGTCAAATCACCTGTTTGCAATCCCCAGTGTAATAACTGATATAAACAAGGATCGGGTGAAATGTCTTTGGGGAACATTCATTCACACAGTCTTAAAATACCATCCTTGCAACAACACCACTGAGACTTGCCAAAAAATAAATAGATGGTAGGAAAAAATACCCCACAGATTATTTACTAATTACAAATGGAAACATGTACCTTTATAAGTGGAGTGATTAGGTGACTCCTATTTCTACCAAAGAATAAATTTAGCATCATCATTTGCATTAAAACTTGACCTTATGCACCTCCTGATGTGATGTGTAGCAAGATGTATACAATATCATCTATGCAGTGTTGAGTCAAATGTTTTAACCTGAATCATCTTATGGGGAAATAAGCAGACAAATCCAAAATGTGGGACGGCCCATGAGACAACTGGCCAGGCTCTGTAAAGAGTCAATATCATAAACAATAGCAACAACAATAAAACGGAGGTGGAACTGTTCTAAGATTTAAAAAAGACTAACCCAATACATTGTATAAACTTTGACCTTGAATCAAAGAGAAAATGCCATTGTCTGCACATTTGAGGATATTTGAAATGAATTTTTATTAGGTAATATTGGATTTAATTTTTTTCTTCATTTTAATAATGGTATTATGGTTCTGTAGGATCATGTCTTTTTCAGATGAATAATGCAGTATTTTAAGGGTGGAATGCGGTGGTGTTTGCAATATACTTTCAAATGCTTCAGCGAAATTTGATTTACACACATACACAGGTGCATTATATGTGTATGTGTGTGCACTGATGGATGGATAGAGGGGTGATGAGCAAGCAAAAGTGGTGAATCCAGGTGAAGGGAATATGGGTCTTTATTGTGCATTTCAAGTTTTCATAGGGTTTCCAAATAAAAAGTGTGAGGGGAACTACTTTCCCTTATGCCCCCCAAACAAAACAAAAACACTAATGTCAACTGAATTATGAACTTTTAAAGATACTGCCATTTGAGAATAACTTCTATTTTTTGATAGGACTAGTTGGTGAATGAATAGTTTTGCATTATATAAGGTCTTGAGTATGTATTCCTTGCATATAACGTGAGGGCCCTCTAATTTTACTTGGGGTGGCCTCATACTATAACACATGGTAATTTAAGGGAATAAATTGAATATGTATTTAACGTTGCCTACTTGTTTTTTACTATAAATAAACATACCTATAATAATGGAAATTTAGAAAAGAGAGGACAAAAACCTACCAGTAATTCTATCCCCCAGAAAAATCACTAGTAGTATATGGAATATTTATTTAAATTTTGTTTTATATACATCTAAATTTCTATTTTGTTATAAAAATGTTCATCATATTCTTGCATAGTCTTTATAACCTCATTTGAAAATATCACAGAAAAATCTTTTATTTTTTAAAGATTTTATTTATTTTTAGTCAGAGAGGAAAGGAGGGAGAGAGAGAAACATCAATGTGTGCGCTGTTGCCTCTCATGCGCCCCCTACTGGCGACCTGGCCCACAACCCAGGCACGTACCCTGACTGGGAATTGAACCAGCGAGTTTTCTGTTCACAGACTGGCACTC